CATCCCTAGAGGCATCTGAGGAGGAGGTCACTTATCCCGCGTTGTAGTCGCCCATGCAAGGTTGGCAGTGGTAGCAGTGACATCATCTTCGCAGGCATCGGCATCACCATGGGCATTAATTTATCCCCCTTCACCAGTTACCGAAAACCCAGACACCACGACCCAGTTATACGCACGAATCCCTCCAACGAGAGTAAGCAAAGGTCAACGAAGCGCCCATGCTACCCAGAGGTCAATTCCCCAACCAATTACAAATTACAAATTACAAATTCAGTGTCAATTCATGCAGCGGCCAAGGCCAATTAAATTGTTGATTCGCGGCGCCACAGAGATCTCAGGCGTTTTGCATGTAAAACCGCTTCATAGGACTATAGTAGGTAGAAGGCAATCCTACAGTGAAATTTTCGCGCCAATCCACTCTGAGGGCAGCCAGCATAGCAGCGGGGCCCTGCTTCCATCCGCTTCTCAGTCCAAATGATGGATTACCTGATTACCACGCAGGCTCAATCCTGTATGATGTGAAGCGGACCCCGTAGTTTGTGGAGCACACAAAGCATCTGTTATGGTCGACTGTCGGAGCTTCTTCTTACTGGGGCTAGCCGAGGCATCATCCTCCCACTGCTCTATGCATTCAACATCTCCGGCACTGGGCAAGGGGAAGCCATACTCAAGGAGTTCATGTTTGACATCGGGATGAAGGGAGTAGACTTGGGCGACGCTCCATGCAACCAGCACTAATCTGCGCCCTCCTTGCCACCCACGGGTGGCATGAAGACGCGATCTTGCATCGAAAATCACTGGCTGTTCTTTTGCTTCCACATCACACCCAAAGTATTTGACCCCCTGGTGTAGCAAGGCTGAAGTGCCTTCCCTGGATGCAATCCAAAGGCCACCCCCCTGAACATCCGACAAAACCTGGAAAAGCGTTCCCGTGGGAGCATTCTTGGAATCCCTATGTGCTCCAACCCGTGCATCTTCTCGCAACGCAAAGGTAGAAAAGCGGAACTGTGGTGCATGTTGGGCAATGAGGGCCAAGACTAGCTGCCGCAATTGAGGGTGAACTGTAGTGCCCATGAGACAGCTAGTTAAGGACCTAGGACTCGCACCGAAGTACAGTACACGGGGATTGTCGAGCGGCTCCGAGTCGGGGTTCCTAATGCATGTTTTGAAAGAAGGTGGAATGACGTTCCAGGCATCACAGATATCACGTCGTGAGACCTGACCTTCTTTTCGTTCCACCTTCTTATTGACGGCGTAGCAAAGCAGCTCAGACTCACACAATCTATTGTCCACTTGTAAAGCTCTAGAAATCAAACTGGTCTCAGTCGCCGTAAAGACCGCACTGAAAGGAAAAGTGGACTCAGCATCATCGGCCACCTTCAGGCCATGTGTCATGTTGTTCGAGCCACTTTGCGGGATTTGGGCACGTTCTTCCATTACTCAGGTCTCAGTTCACGAATTTTAGTGTGCTTGAGTCACTCACATGTGCATGTTTGGGCCAGGAAAGTCGACATACATGGAAATCATGTTGTTGGGTAGTTAAGGAGGACGCAGCGGTTGGGGTTCAGGCAGCTAAGAAGCGCTCATCATGTTCAACAGACATGAACAAGACCCTACTCGCGCGACTACCTAGATTGTAGCGCAATCAAGTTCCCGACTC